TTACAATAGAAAATGAATATTTCTATCTACTAATTAGACAATAATTAATAACTAAACAATAGTTATTAGATTAGACAATAATATAATAAATAAGTAGTATTTTTACTAGTTTGACATGTTAAAAAGTGATTTTTTTGTCACGCATAAACCAATTACTCAGCAGGGTTAGGAAAGACACCTAGATTTCAAGGTATGTAATTGCTCTAAAATATAAGGTTTGCCTGCAAAATTTAATCAAAATGATTTCATTAAAGAACCCACAAATTTCCATCTGTAAACTATGATATAATATTTCTTCAAAATGAACACAAGTGGTAATCCTCAAGTATATGAACTATTCAAAGTTCTATGAAGTTATGTTCAAGTAAACCTATCAAAGATTGCATCATAGATTTATTTGGTCCTAGTTAATACTTGGAGGTAGATCACTCTGCAAAACTGAAAAACATTACAGAACAAAGCAAGAGCATTATGCCAAGAAGATTGCATTAATCTATAAAAGACACTAACCTGTAACTAAATATAAAATAATTGACTGTAGGGTGAAATTATCCCTTAATGATATTTTCTACTTTTAAAAATAATTAATTTTAAATTCTAAGTTAAATGAGCTTAGTCCAACAGAACTAATTCAATTCAGTATCAAATGACACCCCCCCCCCCAAAAAAAAAGCTTATTTACGGCTTCCACAAAAACAAATGTGTGGGCCGATTATTTTATTAAAGAGCCAGTTTGGTGTAGTTGTTAAGGCACCAGGATAGAAAAACAGGACACTGTGAGTTCTAGTCCCACCTTGGGCATGGAAGTCAGCTGGATGATTTTGAGCCAGTCATTCTCTCTTGGCCCAAATCAGCTCCCAGGGACAAACAGGAGGAGGAAGGAATATGAGGTATGTTCACACCCTTGAGCTATATCTAAAAAGGGAGGAATAAAAATCTAGTAATATTTGTAAAGGTATACAAAGAGCCTTATCCTTAGGTGAAGTCTTAACTACCAAGAAAGAAGGAAGCAACAACATTTCAGCTTCGTGAAGTATTGTTCTAACTTAGTTTTCACATAGCAATTCATACTTTGTAGGTCTAAGAGATATACAGAAAACTTGGAAGTAGGTAGCTCTGTTGATTACAACACATGACTAATATTTTGTTCCTCCTCTTCAACAGTTTCTATTCCAGCTGGTAACTATTAAAAAAAAATATTCATGTCACAAGGCATGCCAAATTTTTAAACTTTCAATTTCCAAACATTAGGGGTGCTCAAAAGTTGTGACATGCCTTGGGGATTGGTAAGTAACTACATCAATATCATAACTTTTTAAAGTTTGTTTCTTTCATAGTCTGCCACATGTCTATGGAGATTCTCAATTGTCCAGGTCATAGTTGTCCCAAAGGAGCTTCTTCTAAAGGACTTTCTTAATTTGAAAATGTATCATTTCTCATCCAAGAAGCTTCTTCAGTTTGTCAGAAAAAGCACCGTTTAGTTTGCCTTGTCCCAAATTATTTTCCTTTTGTGCTACATCTTTTACATCCAACTGAAGGCAAGCACTTCTTTAAAGTGCTTTGAAAAGATTTTTTTTTCTTATTTAAGAAAACACTAGCAAAAACTATTTGTTTCTCATAAACAAATAGTAATGGACCAATAATAAGCTGATTGGGAAAAGTTGAGAAAATGATCTACAACCATAAAAATATATCTCAATTGGTTTTTCTTGAATAAAAAAGTCCCCCAGCTAGATCTGCTATCCAGCAAATATTGGATTAATATACTCAATATTATAACATCTCTGCTATATTTGAAAATATTCACCCTCCAGAGTAAAACTGAATTGATGTAAAGCTTGAACTGAATAGGTGATGCACTCTATCATTGGCTAAGTAATGGACTTATCTTGTATCAGAGAAGAGATGAAGCAGCAATTCTCAATTGATTGTCAAACTCTGTTTTATGACTGTTACAAATAGGTCTAACATAGAACAGAATAAAGACTATATTCTTTGTTCTCAAATACTAGTAATATCTCTCATTGATTTACACGAAATAATTATGTACACAACAGTGTTCCTTAATACCATGGAAGAACGAACTATTTGCAAACATTTCATCTCATATTTAATTACAATACTGTTTCTACGCATAACATTGCTTTCTAATTAAATATTATATACTGGCTATCTTATTCAGTGAAAGTATTTAAGAATATATCTAAATCCTCAGAACTTTTCTTAGTATCCTGTCTACTGAAAATGCTTATCTTAACTTATACAATATATGAAATATTTCTTTCCCCAAAACAATTTCTATGCAAAGTGATTTTACTGCCAGTTCTTTAAATACTGATTCATTAAAGAAATAGAAAATGTGGACTGAGGAAAAATGGCAGTTAATTTAGAATAAAAAGCATTTTTCCTTTAAGGAATAATACTAATATTTCCTTTTAAAATTAATTCTATATAAGAGACTGCAAATCATTAGCATCGCTTTGTGTTTTTCAATACAGACTGCCTCATTTTTGTTAAATTACTCACACTGAGGCTTCATTGTGGAAAAAGCAATTCCGTTTTCATTGGATCAAACTTATAGAGATGGATGCAACTGTTGATATTTGAAATATGACTCACAGAAATTATGCATGGTACTTTGACAAAGAGGCTATAAATGTAAATAATCAAACAGCTTAAATTGGGATGAAACACTGCAATTTTCACCATATCCTGTTTGTAAGGCTTATTAGCCATAGCATCAGAACCATTATTTTTAGATTTCTTTTTTAAAATCTGGAATTACTATTTTTCCTCTCATTCTGAGTGAACCATTTAAATTATTTTGTGATTGGTGTCATTTGATTTCAATATTTTCTGAGAATTTCTCCCAGGCTGTTTGATTTATTGCCAAAATCTACAGGATGAGTTCTATAAATGGTTTTAAATATTCTTTGATTAAATGAACCTTTTTTGGGGTAGTTTCTACCAATCATATAGTTCCTATTGATTTGGGCTGAGATTGAGGGTGGAATTAGTCACAGCAAATGTTTTATTTACTCACCAAACTCTAAACAAGCAAAATGAAGTTAAGACTATTTTTTTCTGAAATGGAGAATAGTCCAAATTACAGATTTTCTTGCTTATTTTTTATGAAAGTATTGGGTTGGATTTTTTAAAAAAATACTATTTTGTCGTTTAAAAAAAAGAAAAGATAGAATGTCAGGAAATCAATAATTAAAGTTTCACTCTACCACAGGAGGGGAAACAAAACTAATCAAAAGATCACTCAAAAACATCATAATATCAAAAGTAATAATAACTAGTTAAAATTACAAGCAGAAATATTTAAATTAGCATTACTATTCCCTGGGCAACATTTACTGATCATTAGAAATTATATAAAAATCCTTACGTTGGCCATAGATACAATATTGTAGATCATAATAAAAAAAGATGCCCTACTTGACCCCTGGAGATTATTAGTTATCTTTAATTCTTAGGCATGCAAGATTCTTTCAATGGTAGACAACTCCAAACAGAAAAGACTCTATCTCTGTAGCAAAGATTCAAATACACGAACAGTCTGCAAATGAATGTGCTAAGAAAACACTATTGTGTTAAAAAAAAAAAAAAAGCACTGCTTGCAGAAGGGTGTTGATACTACACTCCACAAACATATTTCCTGGAATAAGGAGTTCTTACTGGTTGGGAATTCCATACTGGTTGGGCTTACTGAACTCAAGAGGAATGACAGAAGGGAGAAGGCATGGAGATATTTAGGAAGTTTTTCTGGCAACAGTATACAAGTGGTTAAACTCCTCCTTCTGAACTCTATCACTGCAAATAGTCTGGTTATGCATTCTTCTAAAATGATTCAGAAGAGGTGGTATAGAAAAAAGATAGCATGAAACCCAGCACTTTTTTAAAAAAGCAGGTGTATGGTTCAGGGTTTCTGCTGAGCCTTAGCACTAGGATGCAGCTACTTTCAAGAGACATGTTATTGTAATGAATGTATAGGTTTTATTATTTCCTATTTTGAAATTATTTTAAGGCACACGGAAAGGCTATAAATTGTTAAAACTTTTTTCAGCAACTTGCTGAACTAATAGAACATGTTTCAAAATAAAATAAAGTGTCGTAAAAGTTTTCTGAACTAGACTAGGTATCCAGTGTTTTTTTAAATTTTTCAGTGATGACAATTTCAGGAATACATAGAGAACTACTTCACATATACACTCACCCTGACTTCTTAATCAGTATGTACATTTTAAAAAAACATGTAATTTTAAATTATTTTATTATTTAACATCTTGAATACTGACTGTCAAATCTACCAAAGAATAATAATAATAATAAAAATCAGCATCATGGTTGTTATTCTTCTTGCAAGAAGCAGAAACATTCTATTTTGGCTGATAAATTATGCTTTAAAAGTAAGAGGTGCCCTTTAAAAATTGCCCTCTTTTTATAGTGATCAAAGCTATTTATCTATTTGATAATTTAGGATCTGCCTGAGTGGCGGCTTGACCTTTGAGAGCAGGGCAAATATTTCCAAGGAAATAGAACATGCTGTAAACTATTTGTCAATTAACCGGAAACCAGTCTAGCATTGCGATCAAATTAAAACATTCGTCTGTAACAACCTGTGGGAGAGATGTAGCACCTGCTCTTCAGAGTCTCTCAAGCCTGCTGTTGAAACCATCATTATTCCTTATAGATTGCAATTATCCAGCATGCAGAGGAAAAGACAGTTGGGCTTTCAGCAGTCCACACGCAGGAAAGACAAGGGCGCGTTTGAAACCTCCACTCTCGATTGCCAACGCTGCAAAGAACAGAGTACCTAACACACCTTTCCTTTCTGACCTTTCGGTCTCCCTGCAATCTTCTCCCCCACCCGCCCGCCCGCCAGCCAGCGACTCGCTCTCGCACCTTAAAAGCGGGACGCAAAAGAGCTCAGTCTCAAACGTCAATCAACCCGCCTGGCGCCTCCCTCCGCGGCACCGCTTCTTTGCGCTCACCTTGTGATCCAGGACGCTGATGTAGCCTTCCAAAAGACGGTCGGCCAGACCGGAAAAGGGTCGCCGGGACGCTGTAGTCGAGGGCCGCTGGCTAACCGGCTTCTGAACGGGGCTGGTCGTCGTCGCCACCTGCTGCTGGACTTGTTCCTTTAAGGCCCATCTGCCACCACCGGCACCGTCACTGCCACCACCGCTGCCTCCGCTCCCGATGCTGCCGTACATAAGCAACAAGCTCGTGCACATGGTGGTGAGCGCTAAAGACACAGCCAGCCCATGGCGCTGTAAGGAGGGAGGGGCAAAGAGAGGCTGAGAACCCGCTGGGCACACAGCTCGGGTCTGGGCTGAGCTGAGCTGGCGAGAGGCGGGCAAGTGAAGAGGGGGAAAAAAACGCTGGACCTCAAGAGCACCGCGGCGGCAAAAGTAACGCTGCTCGGCCGGCTGGGATCTCTCTCCCGTGGAGCTTATACGAGGAGCTCCACAGCCTCCCTCCTCCCCGCGGCTTTTCTTCGCGCGACTCGCAGCGGCGCCTTGCCTCCCTCCCGCTTGATTTCCCGCCGGTTTTGACCCACCACCACCACCAGCAGCAGCCCCGCAATTAGGCAATGCCGCAAACGGCCGGGTGGACTCTTGGCCGGCTTGACCGAATTGTAAGCGAGAGGCTGCCCCGTTGTTTTCTCCCTTTTCCCCTCAGGCTGCCGAAGGGAGCGCACACACTCCGACGCGCGCCCCTCGGTGCAGCGGCTCGCAGGCTGTGGAAGTTTGGACTTCCTCTGGAAGGGTTTCATATATATGTTTCATATATATATTGCCTAAATATATATATTATATTTTATATTATAAATATATATATTATATTATATATTATATTTGTAGAATTGCTTATATATATATATATATATTTATATATATATATATTCCCGACACATTCGAAATAAAAGGGAGCCGAGACACGCAGGGAAGGTGGTTGCTCGCTCGTCTCGTTTTTGCAATTGGGGTTGGAAAGACCGCGCGCCTACGCTTATTAGCCTTTTTTGCAAGTTCCAAAGCGAAAAGTGCACTTGGAGGTTGCAACGCCTCGCCCTCTCTCTCGCTCTTTTTTTACTCCCGTCGCTTCTTAGCCCCTTCCCCCCCCCCCCTATCCACACACCCCTCAGTTTCGCCCACCTTTCTTTTGGCATCCCCGCCGACCTCTCAGTTTTGGCTTTGCGTTTCGAACCCATGGATTTTTGCAACCCGCCTTCTCTTTCCGAATTTAAGGCGTGAATATATATTCTTAAATGGTAGGTGGCAGATCGCTGCGCGAAGGACCTCGCCACTCTTAGGATTACCGACGGCGACCCCACATCCCTGCATTTCAAGCCGGACTCTTCTTCCCCGCCAGCCTTAGACCCCGACGCTGCGCTGCCACCGCTTCCCCCCCCCACAAAAAAAAAGAAAGGCAAGCGATGGAAAGTTGTTCGCCTCTTCCTGCGGGTTTTGCCAAATACCCATCGGCAGCACACCCACCAGCCCCGGCTGAAATCACAAATCCAGCCTGCCTGAGAGGCTCTGAGAACGCCCGCCAAATTCACACGCCGAATCTCACGGTCTCGTTTCAAGTCCTCGCGGCGATCTGGGATCCACGGACTTACCATCAACGTCTTCATTTTTGTATATCCCCCCCGTCCTTTATACCGCGATCTCAGGCTCGAGCATCTGAAATCACTTTTTCTCCTACGGCTTCCATGGCAAAGGAACCGGCGACATAGTTTCTGGCGGGAACAGCGAGCGAAAATCCAGAGCCACAGCGAGGATCGACCCAACCTTGAGCCGGCAAGACAAGCGCGGCTCTTGCAGAGATTAGAGGCAAAGAATTAAAACTGGACCCTTTTAGAGGCTCCCAGTGATCTACACAAGTACCGCCTGACAAGGCTTTCTGGGTCCTAAACCACCCCTTTTCCTATGCTTTCTCCCAGCGTTTGTAGAAATTAACAGCTTTCCATTGGGTTTATTCCTACCTAGAAATCCGAAAAAAGCTCATTTTTATCAAAGCAAGAATCTCGTGCTATAAAGGAGAAATATTCTTTGTGGTGGAGACTTCATCCAAACAGTCCCAGATAGCAACAGCTATAGGTCTCTGGGTTTAACAATCTCTTATTTAATCAGTAGACAATCTTATAATCATCAGCAATGACATGCTTTCAAAACACAGCAGTAGTATCTGTAAAAGCCTGTTTTAAACAAAATGTTCTACTATTTCCCTCTTTCCTGTAAAAGTTTCTTGGCACTAGTAACCATTGCTCCATCCCTCAAGATTTATATTTGAACTATAATAACTTGCTTACCACATTAAAACATTAAAGTCACCTTGGTTGTTATTTACGAGATGGCTCTAACATCATTTTTCTAAACATTAAAAGAAACATTTGAAATATTGCCATTGCCTGTTCCTACACCATGCTTGTCTATATCGTATTTATTTATTGCTTTATCTTTAAGAAGATAAGAGTCATCTACATTCTACCATCCAGGTGTGTATCTAATTAATAGCATATCTTTATATCAGTCCTTTAAATTAACAGTTTAATTTACTGTTTTCAATAGGAGCTTTCTGTGTAAACAAGATATTTTGGTTTATTTCATGGGATGCCTTTCTTGCATAAAACCATAGTTCACGAACCCATGAACTAAAGTCTGTGGGAATTGGTAGATTCTTCTTACTCCTGTAGCTGATGTCTATGTAGGAATTGGTGGGTCCTTCTTATTTCCATAGCTGATGTCTGTACTTCTTGTTGCTGTTCTTTCACCTTGCTCTGTTGAAGTAGTACTTGTTGGGCCAGCCTAGCCATGAGCAGTATTATTGTCCTATAGTGGGATCAAAAAGTGCTCCTAGAGAGATTGTGAAAACTACATGGATTTAGAACTAATGTCATCCAGCTTTCTTCTTCTTCAGCCAAATCAGCTGATGAAGAAGCTGATGAAGCCAAACCAAAGAAGATCCCAGGTGCCACAAACAAACTACTTTAAAACTCTTGTAGGCTGCCCCACCAAGAGAATATAAAAAATATATTGTGCAGAGGGCCCAAACTTATCCTTAAAAAATAGACTTCATACATATTAGAAGCCAGGCAGCAATGTTGTGCATTTGTAAAGTATCAGAAAATAAGATTAAAATGATGGATATCTAATTATCAGTGGCAGATATGCAGAAAATATATAAGTAGCATGAACCACCAATAATGTTATATTTTCTTATTGCAGTAAATATATATTTCAATGTATCTTTTTTATAAGAAATAATTATAAATAGAAAGCTATTATATACTTTTCTTGCTCTATAGATGCTATATTTAAATGGTGCTTCAAGAAGTTATTTTTAATGACATGATTAAAATGTCAAAATGATAGCATTTAAATTAGAAGCCTCTTAATTATATTCAAAGTTCTCTGAATACCTACAGGATAATAGAACTTTCTTTAATCTCTGGCCAATATTAAAAATTATTTCAAGAAGCAAACTGTCTGCAAACTACTTTATCCAAAAGTAGTTTGGTATCTCTTTCAAGACTGGTATACAACTGGTATCTCTTTCAAGACTGAAATTGTCAATAAAATCCACTTTTATTATCTCAGTAAAATGAAATAGGTGCCACGTCTGTATGTGACACGACATGGCACTTAATAGAAGAAGACCCATTGAGCAGAGTGGAAATTCCTCCTAGCAAGCACATTTCCCATCCCCACTAAAAAGAATCCACCAAAATCTTCAGGGTTCTCTTTGATAAAGTGGTTCATACTTCACAAAGTCATATCTATAATATAATCTAGTGTCACCTTAAAGACTAACCCATTAGTCTTTAAGGTGCCACCAGATTCTTCCTTGACTGTATGTATTATATACAGTAATAGTTCAGTGATCAGATAATCAGCATATTTTATTTTAAAACAAAGATTGCTTACATAAAATAAACATTTTTTAGTTTAAAACGGAATATTATTACAAAATAGAAAGTCTGAAAAATATAAAGTCTTGTGCTCCATTATCTTTCAATGTCACTGAATACTTAGTGAATAAGCTTCATGAATCATTGACAGCAAATTAGTGATGGTTCTTTGATTCTTTCTTGAATAAAGTATAGATAGAAAAGATAGGTCATGTTTTAAAAGTACTTTTCCTTTCATTAAGAGCATTTCATTTCAAGCCTTTTGCTTGAAACTGGCCAAGTTCTCTGTGCTATTTCATGCCAAACAAAAATATCATATTTATGATTAAGGCTCATAGCTGTATGCTGGACATCTGTTATACAGTATGTCTAACCGAATCATCAGGGTTATGAGTTGGGATGATAGCTAGCTACAGTTAGTTACAGAGTGTCTTGATCAAGTGGCGAGGTTAAATTTTGTAATTTAATGTTGAGTTTGCTTTGAATCATATCCAGTTGTCTGATTCTCAGATAATTACTTTGTCATGATGGTCATAGACACAGCATTTGGCAGCTAAACTGCTGTGGCTGCAAACAAGTCATCTATGCACACTCTGCCATATTTATGTGTAGACATGATGTATCAAGGGAAATCTATAAAGACAAATTAGAAAAAAGCCAAGTCACCTATTTTTAAACTGAGAATGGTTTGTCTTAGCTTGGTGCCTATTAATGTTTTGTATGTTTATGTACATGCATGAAAAGATGCAGATAACCCCCCACCCCAGAAATAGTTATTCAGTCTTGAGTTTATGAACATTCCTCACTGACTTGAAAGATAAAATAAAATAAAATACTTTTAAAAGCTCCTTGAACTTGCTGTATTCAATGTAAAGTGAGTTATGACTTTTAAAAAAAATAAAGACAGAATCTTAGCCAACATTTAGAATTATTAATATTCTAAATGGCGGCTAATCTTCCATCAGGACTGGACATTTTGGTTGGTGTTGTTTAATATCATCAAAAATAATCTTTGAAATAAACCATAGATTGAGGTGGTAAATGGGCAGAGCAAAAATCATTCATTTTTTCTTTTGACAGTCTTGTTGTCACCCACATTTTTCTTTTCTAAGCAACTGTGAGATGCACAGCTCTTATGACAAGTCTGAACTGATTCCTTTATCAAGGTTTTTAAACTATACTTTCCCTGCCCTATGCAAATAATAGTAGTTCCTGATTAATCTTATATGATATTTTTGCATTATAAGCCTCCTAAAATGATATTGTGGTGTGCATATTCATTCTCTATCCAAAAATTAAAATACAAGTCCCAACGATGGAAGTTATGTACAAGATACATCCCCTTTGTATAAGATCATTGATTGGGAAGCCATAACGAGTTTGTGAGAAAGTTCAATTGTCCAGTAAACATGTTGCAGAACAGTTGCCTGTTACTCAGGCAATAACTGACCTATCAGGACTACATAGATATTTTGCATATTTTTGTCAGTAGATCATGAATATTGGCATGTGTAATTGGTTAGGATTAACCTGCATTCTCAAGTGCTACAGTCCAAATTTCCAGTTTATCTGTCAGCCTCAATAAAAATACGGTAGCTCTAGAATAAGACTTATTTTCTAAATAGGAAGGCAGATGTGAACAGGTGTGTTGCATAGAGCGAGTGACACTATTATGACACTTTCGTTTAAGGCTAATTGAAATTCTGGAGAGAAGCACTGGTGTTACCGCTACATCACATTCATGTTTTAGTACTCCAGGCAATACAGTAATAATGCTTTAATGCCATGGAGATTTTCTGTTTTGCCCTAGCTGTTAGCTCTCAAAAGTGCAGCTAGAAAATTAGACTCTACACTTAATAGACTTAGCAGAGAAGGTAGCTCCTTTGGAAAACTATGTATATTGTTTTAGAAAATGGGTGTTTTATATAGACGAGGATGTGGAAGGAAATTAGGAAGAGTCAAAACTGAAATGGCACCTTCAGTACAAATACAAATATGATTATGTTTCTTTGTGGTTATGTCATTACAATACTGTGGACTGCCCAAGATTTTATTATAAAGGAGACTTATGGTCCAATCAATTATAAAATAATAGTATTCAGTGAGATTCTGCTTTATTTTTTATTAGCATGTATTTGTCTATGTACACAGATACCATGAAACATAGAATTATTATTTCAGGGAATATTCCTTCCAGATTCAGAGATTATTTGTAAGTAGATAAATTTCATAAACCAATTACATTTAAAGAGAGACACAAATCTCTCCCCATCATTCTTTACACATTTCAATTTTGCATGAGATATTTTGGATTAGTATTAGAACTTCTGTAATGGCTTAGAAGGACTAACATTGTGGGGAAAAGGAACAAGGTTTTTTTTCTTTATGCAGGCATATGAGAATATATACACAGTGTAGAATACTTATTCCTGATTACTGACATAACATTATTTTCTGCAATGGTTCCATTATTAACTGGGTCTTTCACTTCTGCACATGCAAATGTTTTCCTGTATTAATTCCAAAATCAGTCTTTTTATCATCTGTCTTCTTCATTGATAATGCCTTCAAGCCATTGGCATGCAGAGTCTACAGCTGTTCAACTGTATCCTTCTATCAGACTCAAAACTTAATCTTGAATGTTCAATTCTATCTCTCTGTGATAATCCATTGTAGTTTAATTTTAATATTGAAAGAGAAATCTTGATCATTTTCTTGACTTG